CTATCATTATGTACAACTATAATACACAAATTTTTAAAATGTGGAAAAATGTAATTAAGAAAAATCAGGGAATGAATGATGGAAAGGAGCAAATAGAAGGCATTATAAGTGGAAAATTCAAAATGTGACAGGAAGAGGTGACATCAGCAAGATGGCAGAAGAGGAGCTTCCTGCTGTGGTCCCTCTAGCCAAGCACCCATTCTGAAAACCCCACACACAATACCTCGTGTGAGAGTCCAAGAGTCCAGCAGGAAGTCCTAATATACTGCTGGAGCAAAACAATCCTGGGAAAGATGCACTGACCAGGGTGAGAACAGCTTCCTTTCGTCCAGCTCATCCCTCCTCATATCAGGCTTAAGTCAGGGCCAAAACAAACTCCTGGGTCTGCAGTTTCTCCCACAGGGAAGAGGAGAGCTCAGAGAGTGAGCACCTGACTCCCCTAGCCATGTGAGACACTGCCTAAGAAGCCCACAGCCTTTAGAAACCAAGTAACAAAATAATAATAGTAAACCTTTACCTGTCAATAATTACCTGGAACGGAAATGGATTCAATTCTTCAATCAGAAGACATAGAGCAACTGAATGGGTTTTTTTAAAAGCCAGCTATATGCTACCTAGAAGAGACTAATTACCAAGTGTGATGGCTCATGCCTATAATCTCAGCTATTGAGGAGACTGAGGCAGTAGAATTGCAAGTTCAGAGCCAGCCTGAGCAACTTAGTGAAACCATGTAACAAAATAAAATAGGTCTGGGGATATGGCTCAGTAGTAGAAAGTTGCCTAGCATGTACAAGGCCCTGAGTTCGATCCCCAAGTAGCACACGAGCACACACACCCACACAAATACACAAACACACACACACACACACACACACACAAAAGAGCCTCTAGTGAGCTTTCAGGACATATTCAAATTGAAAATATTCCATACAAAAGAAGAGCAAACGTTATCTATCATACTATATCAAATAGTAAGAGACAAGTAAAATCATTAGGTGATTCTAAAAAGAGTCAATAACAATTGTGAATTTATTTAAACCCCACACTGGAGCACCTAAATATATGAGGCAAATATTAATTGATCTAAAGGGAGAAAAAGGTGGCAATACAATAATAGTAGGAGACTCCGACACGCCGATACCAACAGTAGATGTAAGAATAGCTCATTACTTGCAGATCAATAAATGTGATACAACACACAGAGCAAAGGAGGAAAATTACATGATCGGCTCAACAAATGCAGTAAAAAAAAATGTGTGACAAAATTCAACATCATTTTGTGATTAAAAACTCTCAACAAATTAGGTAGGTCGGTGCAATAAAAACCACACACAACAAGCCCTCAGCTCTTCGTATTCAACAGTGAAAAACTAAAAACTGGTCCTCAATGATCAGGAATAAGATGAGCACACCCACTCTCACCTCTTCTATCAGCACACAGTATAAAATCCTAGTCAGAAAAACAAGGGAAGAAAAAAATAATACAAGGAGTCTGTTATAGCTTGAGTCTGAAATGTTCCCCAAGGGGTGCTCAAGGGTCTGTGGTTTGGTTCCCCATCAAGCCTGTTTAGAGGTGGGTCTTTTGAAAGGTAATTGGATCACATGGTTCTGATATTACGCATGGATTAGTCCATTGCTGGGTTCGTGATTGAATGAACCACTGGAAGTGGGGGAAACTGTCAGAAGGAGGGTCTAGGGGGAGGAGGCGGGTCACTGGGAGTGAGCCCACAGTTCTGAAACTAAAAACCAATTAAATGAAAAGGCAACTAGAAGAATAGGAAAAAAATATTGGCAAATCATATATCTGATAAGGAATTAATATCCAAATATATAAGGAATAAATGTCAATACAAAGAAATAATGAATTTAATGAATAAATCCACACAAATAACTTGATTAAAATGGGCAAAAAATCCGAAGAGACATTTTTCTAAAGAAGGCTTAGAAATGGGCAACAGAATAATGCAAAATTATTCAGCATCGATAATCATCAAGGAAATGATAATAAAAACCACAATTAGGTATCACCCCATACCTATTAGAATGGCTATAATCAAAAAGTCTAAAAATTCTGTAAAGGTTGTGGAGAAAGGAAAACCTTTTGTTAGTGGGAAAACAGTGTAGAGATTCCTCAAAAAGTTAAAAATAGAAATGCCCTACAATCTGGCACTTTCACTCTGGGTCTCGATATGTATTCAAAAGGAAAAAACGAAAACAAAAAAAACACAACTTTTTTTTGAGGTGGGTTCCTGACCATGTTGCCCAGGCTGGTCTTGAACTTCCAAATCTCCACCTCGGCCTCTCAAGTAGCTGAGATTATAGGTGCCACCACACCTAGCACCCTCAAGGGAAATGGAATTTGTCTCTTAAGACACATGCACACTCCCACGCCCACGGCAGCATTATCACAGTAGCCAAGATATGTAATCAACCTAAGTGTCCCTGGACACATGAACGGACAAAAAAAAAGGTAGTTGAATACTGAACAATAACATATTACATCCTTGAAATCTGCTAAGAAAGTAGGTCTTATGTTCATTTTTACCACACAATAAAGGTCACTTTGGGAGGTGACATATGTTAATTAGCTCAATTGTGGTAATCATTTCACAATGTACACATATATCAAACATCGTGTTGTGTACCTTAAATGCATACAACTTTAAATTCATACTGGTCATTTGTATTTCAGTAAGACTGAAATAAAGAGATGAAAGAAATACATCAATAATCTCTAAAAAGGTTCATGTGTATTAATCTGTTTGTGCTGGTATAACAAAAACTGGAGATGGGGAGGAATGAAAAGAGAGGTTTCCTTGCTCACAGCTGGGAGGTCCAGGAACATCATCACATGCTTCTGCCTGGCTCTAGTGAGGACCTTGCATCCGATGGCATCACTGTGGTGGGATCGCAAGTGAGAGTGGTCAAGGGGCAAGACAGGACACCAGAAACCTGGAAGAGTCAACTCTAAATCTCCCAGAACCAATGTGGCCCCACCAGAACATTAGTGCCCCTCACCACTCAACCATCTCCCAAGAAGCCTCTTCTCCAAGTGTCTACCATTGCTCACATTATCACACAGAGGACCCAGCTTCCAATATGGGATCTTAGGGGACAAACCACAGCAATGGAGCAGGCCTGCCAGTGAAAGGGCAGATGGCCTTCTATGACATTTTTAAGAGACACAGTACCACAATGTAAAGGCCACCCAAAGGCTATTAGTAAAAAGAGAGGGAAATGTATTCGAAAGAGGTAACCACAAGCACGCTGGTATTGCCATGGGGTGAGGAGGAAACAGACCTGAGGCCAGAGCATTATTACCAGTATACACCACTATTAAATGATGATGAGGCTGGGGCTGGGGCTCAATGGCAGAGCACTTGCCTAGCATGTGCGAGGCACTGGGTTCTATCCTCGGCACCACATAAAAATGAACAAATAAAAAATAAAGGTACAAAAAAAAGTTGTATCTGTTTAAAAAAATGATGATGAAAGGAAAACTTTGCAAATAGGTTACGACAATCTTGAACCAATGTGCATGTAGAAATGGAGCTGACATTTATTTAAAACAAAAATGGACAATCTTATAAGGAAACTTCAGCAAACCTACACTCATAATAGAATTCTATATACAACTTTCAGCAACTGATAAATCTAGCATACAACATTGTAATAAGAATATAGTGTTTGGACAGCACACAGATTACATAGGAAGCTCTGCATTCTTTTTCAGTCATATATGGAATTTTTCCCAAAATGACATTCTATCATATCATATGGCAAGCCTCCCCACCCCTTTCACTTTCTTACTTGGAGTATTCCAGATTGGACCCAGGACCTTGTGCATGCGAGGTAAAGTGCTCTGCTACTGACCTACATCCTCAGTCCAAAAAGGCAAACTGTAACATATGCCAAAGAACTGGTTGCATATAACCCATGTTCTATGACCAGAATAGGATATTAAGTTTTGGCTATGGAAAGTATATGTTTTAAAAAATTAAGATAATACTATGATCAACTTTAGATAATAAATATGAATAAATATCAAATGGACAATTTTCTAAAGAAAGAAAATTATTTTTCCAGTCCAGGGGTACTTTACCACTGAGTTACATCCCAACGGCCCTCTCCCTTTAGTTAAGACAGTGTTGCACTCAGTTGCTCAGTCTGGTCTCAACCTTGCCATCATCTAGGAAGTACAGACCTACACCACTGTGCCTGGCTAGAAAAATGTTTTGTTTTGTTTTGTTTTGTTTTGGGGTACCAGGAATTGAACCCAGGGGTGCTTAACCACTGGGCAACATCCCCAAACCTTTTTATTTTTCATTTTGAGACAGAATCTCACTAAGTTGCAGAGGGCCTTGTTGAGTTGGTGAGGCTGAACTTGAACTAGTGATTCTTCTATCTCAGCCTCCTGAGTCACTGGGGATTACAGGCTTGGACTACTGCACCCCACTAAAAAAAAGTGGGTTTTTCCCCCATAGCTTTATTGAGGTAAAATTGAAGTACAATAAAATACACATATTTGAAGTATGTAATTTGATCAGTTTTGACATGTATGTAACCAATACGATCAACATAAAAAGCATTTCCATTACTATTTTAAAATTTGAAATGATGCAGACTGTGTTCCTTGAATGATTATTACATTAGAAATCAATCACCTTATTGTGCTCTATATGTATAAAATGAAATGAATTGCGTTTCTGACATCACGTATAACAAATTAGAATAAATGAATAATTTAATTTTAAAAAAAGAAATTTATCACCTTAAGATATAGAACCAGACCCCCACATGTCAATTACTTCAAAATTAAATGGCACACTTAGAAATATCTCATAGGTCAAGGAAGAAGGCACAATAAAAGTAAATAAAAGTTCTTTGAACTAAATAATAATAAAAGCTTAAAATATCAAGATCTCTGGGATGAAACAGTACTCAGATGAACAATTATAACTTGTATCAGAAAGAGGTCAGTTTTTCTTTTCCTTGCCAATAACGCTTTCACAAATATGGTGAACATTCCTAAGACCCGTCAGACGTTCTGTAAGAAATGTGGTGAACACCAACCCCATAAAGTGACACAGTACACGAAGGGCAAGGATTCTCTGTATGCACAGGGAAAGCAGCAGTATGACAGGAAACAGAGTGGCTATGGTGGAGAGACTAAGCCAATTTTCAGGAAAAAGGCTAAAACTACAAAGAAGATTGTGCTGAGGCTTGAGTGTGTTGAGCCTAACTGCAGATCTAAGAGAATCCTGGCTATTAAGAGATGCAAGCATTTTGAACTGGGAGGAGATAAGAAGAGAAAGGGCCAAGTGATCCAGTTCTTAGCTTCATTGTTTGTTTTGTTATGAAGGTTATCTTTGCTTAAAAAAAAAAAAAAAGAAAGAAAGAGACCAGAATCGCAACAAAATTATTTTCTTTTCTTTTTAAAATATTTTTTAGTTGTAGTTGGACAAAATACCTTTATTTTATTTATTTATTTTTATATGGAGCTGAGGTAGAACCCAGCACCTCGCACATGCTAGGTGAGCGCTCTACTGCTGAGCCACAGCCACAGCCCCATAAAATTATTTTCAAATATATAGTTTCCTACTGCCTATGAAATAGAGAAGAAATAATACAGCTAAGATTTGATTTTTTAAAAAAAACCAAGTCTAATCAAGAAAAAAGCAAGAATACAAAAATTAATATCAATGGAAAGGGAGCAATCAAAATAACCCTATAGAAGCTAAAAGTACATTATGGTACTATTACAGTTCCATGTCAACATATGTGATAACTTACATAACATGGTCTATATTAGAGAAAGATCTATGTGCTGCTGTGAAGTGTGTTCAGTCATTGATGGATGAAATATTCTATATATGTCAGTTAAGTCTAAATTATCAATTGTATCTTTTACTTCTATAGCTTCTTTATTTAGTTTTTGTTCCGAGGATCTATCCAGTGCCGACAGAGTCATGTTAAATTTACCCAGTATTATTGTGTTGTTGTCTATTTGATTCTTGAAATTGATAAGGGTTTGTTTGATGTACATAGATGCTCCATTGTTTGGGTATAAATATTTATGATTTTATGTCTTGTTGATGTATAATTCCATTAAGCAGTATGAAATCTCCTTCTTTGTCCCTTCTGACTAACTTTGGCTTGAAGTCCACTTTATCTGGTATGAGGATAGAAACCCCTGCTTGTTTATGCAATCCATGTGAGTGATGCTTTTTTCCCATTCTTTCACCTTCAGTCTGTGGATGTCTTTGTCTATGAGGTGAGTATCTTGACAGCATATTATTGGGTCTTGTTTTTTAATCCAATATGCTAGTTGGTGTCTTTTAATTGATGAGTTTAGGCCATTAACATTCAAGGTTATTTTTGAGATATGATTTATATTCCCGGTCATCTTGGTTTATTTCTGATTTTTAATTTGAATTAGTTTCTCCTTTTATTGACTAATCCTTTAGTGTAGTTCCTCCCTTTACTGGTTTTCACTTTTTTTTTCCCCCTGGGTTGAGAAATCAGCTGAGATCCACATTTGTTCCCCTGTATACATAATCTGATATTTTTCTCTTATTGCCTTTAAAATTCTATTCTTATTATAATGTGCCTTGGTGTGGATCTGTTGTAATTTTGTACATTGGGGTCTTGTATTTGATTTTCCATTTCATTCTTTAGATCTGAATATTTTTCTGATATTATTTTATTGAAAGTATTGTTCATTCATTTGGTTTGTATCTCTACACCTTCATCTAGCCTGATAAATCTTAAATTTGGTCTATCATGGTATTCCATAATTCTTGGAATTTCTATTCATGGTTTCTTATCATCTTCTCTCTGTGATGGACTCTATTTTCAAGATTATATATTGTGTTTTCATTGCCTGAGGTTCTGTCTCCCAAGTGATCTAGTCTGTTGATGATGCTTTCCATTGAATTTTTAATTTAGTTTATTGTTTCCTTCATTTTGCTTTTTTTCCCCCAGAATCTCTGCCTCTTTATTGAAGTGATCTTTCACTTCCTGTATTTTCTCTCTGATTTCATTCCTTATGCTGTCCTTTAGTTTGCATGTCAGTTTAACTATGTACATTCTAAACTCCTTCTCTGACATTTCTTCCACTGTGGTGTCAATGGATTCTGTCACTGGAGTATCTCAGTTGGCTTAGGGCGATTTGTTCCCTTGCTTTTTCATGTTGTTTGTGTGTCTACCCATCTAACAGTATGGCTCTGAGGCAGTAGAGTTTCTATTCTGTGGACTTACAGTGTCCCTGAAATTTTCTAGTACCTCACATTATGGTCAAAATTAAACAGAAAAATAATTTTTAAAATTCTAAAATTTTAAAATTTTAAAATAAAAAGTTAAAGAATTCTTTCCATTGGAGTTCAAAAGATTCTCAGTTTCTCTTCTCCTGAAAAAGTGGCGTTGTGTTTTTTGTTTTTTGGGGGTTTTTTTTGTCTGTTTTTTGGTACCGGGGAATGAACTCAGGGGCACTCAACCACTGAGCCACATCCCCAGCCCTATTTTGTATTTTATTTTATTAAGCAACTCTCACTGAGTTGCTTACTGTCTCATTGCTGAGACTGACTTTGAACTTGTGATCCTCCTGCCTCAGTCTCCCAAGCCACTGGGATTACAGGCATGCGCCATGGCGCCCAGCAGAAAAAGTGTTTTTTAACTTAAATACATGAAAAAATGTAGGAAATCTGATGAGGCTAAGGAATTTGAAACACTAGTCATAAATCTGCACCTTTCCTCCAAAATTCTCAACTCTGGAAGGTTTTTAAATTTTATTCATTTATTTAATTTTTATTAGTGCATTCTAAATACACATAACTGTGACTGTATTTGGAGTGTGACTGTATTTGGAGTGTGACATGATTTGTTCTGTTGTCTCCCCTCTTCTTTCCCTCCCCTCCTCCACTCCCTTTTCTACACTGATCTGAATTGTGCATTCTTCATGAAAGTAGGATCCATTATTCTATGTGCATGTGACATATTTCACATGCACATAGAATAATTTGGCCTACTTCAGTCCCCAGTTCTTCCCCTTTCTCTCCACTCCTCCCTCCTCCTGGATTCCCTTCCTCTGCTGTTCTCCCTTCTATGTTTGGAAGATCCACTTTTCAACTCCAGAAGTTTCTAATGATGAGTTCACCAAACCACTAAGGGACAGATAATCCAATGTTTATTAGCTATTTCACATATTCAAAAGGGAAAGATATCCAACTAATTCCAAAGGGCAATATGACCTTATACCAAAACTAAATGAAAAAAAGAAACCTTGAATAAAATATTGGGAAAACAAAATTAGGAAAGCTTAAAAAATCCACTATGATAAAATTGTGTTTATTCCTTGGATTTAAGATAATATAAAATGCATTAATTTGATTCACTATATTTACTAATATGATTCATATTTTAAATGTGAAAAGCTGAGCCAGGCATGATGGTGCACATCTAGAATCCCAGCAACTCAAGAGGCCGAGGCAGGAAGATTGCAAGTTCAAGGCCAGCCTCAGCAATTTAGCAAGACCCTTAGCAGGTTAATAAGACCTTCCCTTAAAAAAAAAAAAAGAAAAGAAAAGAAAAAGAAAAAAGGCTGGAAATGTAACTCAGTGGAAAAGCACCCCTGGCTTCAATCACCAGTACAAAAGAAAGAGTGAAAAATTGAAATAATTTTATTGGGTGCTAAAAAAGCATTTGAGAGAGGGGCCTATATTGTACAAGACTAAGACCCAAGCAATGAGGATACTGACTTGGGAAGCCGGAAGAGGTGGCTCTGAGAGAGTAAGGTCAAAAAAGAAAATCTACTCAAAGGATCTGGAAATGTTCAGGGTTAGAAAGACGCTCTCTGAATAGTTTTGTGAAATAGGGAACCAGGGGCTCTAAGTGACCACCTTAATCATCACCCTCCTCCTGGCATACTTCTCCAACTTCTTCACCCTACCGAGGGTGGAATTCCAGGGAGGGAGCCTTCAATGCTCACCACGTAACAGAAGCCCACCCCTGGAGCAGGGTGCAGTGATTAGCTGTCCCAAAACCAAAATGAAGAAATTGGGATGATGCTTCCAAAAGAAGATAAAATAAGTGTTCAAGAAGCATAAACAGCATGTTTAAAGGCCCTGAGCCTTTAAAGGTGCTAAGTGTGTAAAAATCCACTAATGTAGGTTTTAAAAACCATGGTGAAAGTTCAGGTTGTATCCTAAGGGGAATTAGGAATTTCAGGCAAAGCAGTGACATCATGAGATTAGCATCTTAAGGTCTTAAGGGAGTTACCCTTTCAACTGTGTAGAAAATAGAGTGAAGAAAGACACAAGTGAAAATAAGGAGACATTAGGAGATCATTGCAATAATTCAAGAAGAAAATAATGACCAAAGTGGTGGAATAACAGTGGGCAGAAATGGTTGGGTACTTGGGAGTTCACATTATGAGTTTGTTGGTGGGTGTGGAGGATGAGGGGGCAGAGAAGAATCAGGGTGACTCACAAGTTTCTGGACTGAGCAAGGAAGTAATTTGTGGTGCCTTTTATGATTTGGCGAAAACTGAGCAATGAAGGCAGAGAAAAATTTGGAGAGGAAAAAATACAACACCACTTTTGCACATGTGAAGATTAAGCTACCCAGCCTGACAACACCCCTGGAACCCAACCACTCAGAAGGCTGAGGCAGCAGGATCCCAAGTTCAAGTCCAACTTGGGCAATTTAGCAAGATCTGGTCTAGAATTTTAAAAACTGAAAAAGGCCAGGGACGTAGTTCAGCATGTGAGGCCCTGGATTCAGTCCCCAGTATCAAAAAACAAACAAAAAAAATATTAAGATATCCAAATGGAGTGGTCCAGGAAGTAACTGGATATAATGAGTTGCAAGGAACTGTTCCAACAGGAGATATAAATTAATGATTTTTATTGTAAAACTAGCATTAAACAGGAATGTATGAGATCATTTATAGTCAGCCTTCTTTGCAACATTTTAATGAAACTATTACATTAAACTAAATACATCAAGGCTAACCTTTACAGTAAATCAAGCACGTAGCCACCTACAGTTATGGCCTTGAGAGTCACAGGACCTTCATAATGGTATCTGAAACTCCTACATGAATTCTTTTCTCTGGATTGAGAAAGAAGGCAGATAAGCAGAGATTTCAGCTACTTGACAAATGCTTTCACCCTTGCAGACCTCAAGGGCAAAGAATATATTTGGAGCAGAGAAGGGAATTCCACAGAATGTGTAGCACTGGACAGAAGGAAGGGAACACAGAGCATCTGAGCTAGCACTGTACTCTGCTATGGGGATCTGGTGAGCATGGAAGTGTTTTCTCTGAAATTTAGACACAAGAGACAGGTAAGATAGCAGCATG